TTTGGAAAGTTTCTGCCTGAAGAAATAACAGCAGAATGCCCAACTTTCAGATACAGAAGAAAAAAAAAAGACTTCTCTGACTTTTATAGAGCACATTAAAAACAGAAGCTGACTCAAGCGCTTTCCAATTGAGTTAGTGGTGCTGACCTGATGAGGTGCAGGTCCTGCAGCACCCGGGTCATCTGGTGCAAATGTTCCTGAAGGCGGCATGCAGCGGGCGGTGGCTCTGTACCAGGAGAGACCCGACTCCGCTCTTCCTTCAGGAGCTGCAGCGCGTGATTCAACAGCTCCATCACACACAGGAGGTTCAGCTGGCCCGCTTCATACACACTACCTGAAGTTAACTGGGAGGCAGAGATTTTTTTTTAGATTAGAGCACTTTTATACATTAGAAGAATAGCCCCCAGTGGAGCAGAGGATAAAACAAATCTGATGATACTGGAGTACTGAAACTGTAAGCACATAAGTTTTAAAATTACAATCAACAAGACTGATTCTGTTTAATAAGTCAGATTAATTAAAGTGCAAAGTGTTACACACTTACAAAAAGTAGATAAATCAGTTTCCATCAAATTGAATTTTCTGTTCTGAAGATATTTGGAAAAATCTGTATTTCTTCAGTAGTTCAGTGATGCCAACCCAACCAGAGCCACCATCTTTTATTTAGCTGGATTTTGAATTCAGGTCGACTCCGAGAAGGGATGAATGAATGAAATAAATGTTTTGAAAAATAAATACAGTCATCTGTAATTTTTTAGAATATATAAAAAAAGAAAAAAAATTGTAATCATGGTGGTATGCTCTGAGTCATTTTCCCTTTAAAAGAACCATTAAATGTGCGCTGGTTCTTCCTGCAGCAAAACTTCCCAGTAACCAACCAGTTTCCTCCTAATGTAATGATGAAAATCACATCAAAAATTAAGGCATTCATTCCAGAGTGAATTTGCAAACTTCTGGAACACAAAACCTTCTTGAACAGCATAAAGGCTGCATCACCATGCTAGTACTAACAAACACAAATGCAGCCGTTTACTCCGACTCTCACCTGATGTGGGAGACGCTCGATTCTGTCCACCAGACAACGAGGAAGCTTGAGGACTCGGTTTGTCCCATCTAGGATGGACTGATCCACATCTCCTTTCAATACGCTTTCCACTGCCGCCTGCTGCTCCTGGATAGCAGAGAGCATTCCCTCGATGGCCGACCACAAAGAACGAACCTTACAGGAAAAAAAAGAGGGCAGGTGGAGCTTTAGTTCAACTTTTAATGCGACTTCTCACAAAGTCAAAGGCAACTAAGTTTTATAAAGAATTTAAAATAAATGTACGAATCTCTGAAATTCTCAGATTTAAATCATGCAATCATTCACAGATGAAGAAACACCAGAATTGCATCAAAATTCTAAAAATATACTTAATACATAAAAGGTGATCAATTTAAGCTGCCATAAAAGCAGACACAAGATATTAGCATATATTTTAAAAAACCTAAACTTCAGAGCCCATTTATGGAAAGTTTATTTATTTACTTTTAAATAATCACTGCACCTCTTTACGCCTGGCAACAATATGCTCTGATTTAGAAAGGCAGAATCTACAACAAGCTTCAGTTGTGTAAAAACATTCCGTACCTTTTTAATCTTCTGAGAAAAGGACTCCGCATCCCAGGGAGCCTCAGAAACGTGACGCCTGAGAGAAAGAAAACCCTTGTTAATGTGATGCAGAACGACTAGCAGAAACTTCAAGGAGACAAATTCAACCTACTTTAGGAGCTGATCGTACTTTGAACCATCCACTTTGAGGTCTCTTATGGACTTAACCACAGCCCTAAAATTTAAAACGGAAATAGAAGATATGCATAAGAACAACACAGTAAACAATACCTTGCATAGATGGTGCAAGTCAAAGCTTTAAATCCAAATAAAAGATGACAAAGGAAGAGATTTTTCCGTTTTCCAATTCCTGTTGATGGTGAATGGAAAAGGCTGCTGTTAAAAAATAGTATGTGGGTGGAGTTTGCTGATAGAAAATAGCTTCAGCTACTACACAGTGACCTCCACCTGATTAAATTATGTTTCACAGGTGAGACAAGAAACAGAAAGTAAAACTAATCAAACTGAAAGAAAGGAAAAAAAAAACAGGGAACTGAGAAAAAAGAAAGACGACTTACTGAGCTCGTGTTTGGTAGTCATGGAGAAAACGATCCTGATCCACAGCGGCTTTCAAAAACCTGCTGCGCACGAGATTCAGCCGTTCCACTGCTACATGTGGAGTGGATGCAGGCATGGCTGCAGCCTCAGGAGTCCAACTCTTATCTGGCAACAAGACAAGAAGTTAAAGTTCCAATGGAAGGAAAACAACAAGCTGCAGAGAGTAGGTTAATTGATGATAGAGTCCTCTATAAGCTCTACCTGTGACAAACGTCTTCATGTCCTGCTGCATCACATGGGTGGCCAAATAAAGCATCAAGCTGACAAACTTTGGACCACCAGGGGACAGAAACAATGACATCACCACTTTAGATCCAGCGTTGGCCATTTCATCCTGGAGTAGATCATATGGAGTAAAGCATGTGAACAAGGACATTTCATTTTTATCCCCGTACTGCGTTGTGTTCAGGCCAATTTGAATTTAACACATGATTTTTGAGATTTGATTAAAAAAATTTTCAGGGTAAATATTTAATTTTCACCCGTGAAAATGCTTCATGCAAAACAAAATGTGATAAACCTCAAAGTGGATGAGCTCTTTCTCATGAAACTGGGTGGATGGGGCTAGACAAAGTTTGCTTTGTCTGCAGCCACCAGTTAAAAATATATATTTATATCAAAAAACTTTGAAGAATCATCACACTGAGAATTAAAAGTACCTTGGTTTTCCAGTGGGGAAAAAAAACATTAAACCTGGGCTGACAGCTAATGTAGCTTCCATTGGTCAGTGACAAAAATGAAAGGAAGTAAAGCTGAACTAAAATTACCTAAATCAAACTTTTAGAAGTTTTAGGTAGAATTCATTGTAAGTTGTTTTTCCCCCTTTTTAAATGTTTGAACATCAGCATTAATTATTATGTAAACTATAGATTTCACCATGATTTCCCGCAGCCAGGTACAAGTAACCTTCCGGAACTCAGCATCCGCTTTGTGATTCACAACAGGCCAGCAGTGCCTAAAACAAAGTACATCCGTTATGTTAGAGAATTTTTACTGAGCATCAACAACTGATCACAAATCCTACCTTTACCTGTACGACTCGTGAAAGCGAAGGGGATTGAGTTTCTCCAACAGGAAACGGGTCACCAAGTAGAAGGCTTCTTTGTTCGGTTTGTTGAACATATTCCTGCTCGCCACAACAGAACAGCAAACACGACCAGACACGTTAACGGTCAGCATCCTTTTCAGGACGTAAAGAGTTGCTTCTGGTTTTGAAGAAATGATTTAATCAGTGACTAGTTTGAAATCGACGGCGGTTTTTACGAGTTAAACTCGGGAGTTGCATCAAGAGTGACAAATTTGTCAAAACACAAAAACATGATGAACGCTTCAAACGTGTTGTATTTGAGTTTTCTGGAATCACAAAGCGTATTTCAAACCATACACACCATAAAATATGTTTTAAAAAATCTGTAAGCGGTGTGCTAAGTTTAACCTGAGTAAAATCAACGACTTTAAGCGTCTCGTCAACCAAAAGCAATAAACTTACGGTCCAAGGTTGAGATGTTTGATGTTGACTGGCTGAAATCCCAAACCGAGAAGAGCAAACCACAGATACTGTCCGTTTTTCTTCTGCATTGGGATCGAGTTGGCCATGACTCGGAGCTGGAGCGGCCTGCTTCGTCTTCTTTAAGCACCCACAAGCCACGGCTAGCTACCGTGTTAGCTTTAACTTCAATGTTTACTCTCTGTTAAAAGTGAGGTAATAAAAAAAATCCAATCGAAACGACAATAAAACCCAGAACACTGTCGATTTTACCCCCCGTAGCTCTCACAACCACTGAGAACAGCGTCTGTTTCAATCTTTCTCGGACAGAAACAGGAACAGGACAGCAGCACGAACACAAACCGCCAATTTTTCCAATCATTACCCGGATGTTGTTTGTAAGTACATCCGGTGGTGGATGAGCTTGTAAAGTAAAAGCATCTGTGGAAGTCAGCAGAAAAAGACGAAAGTATAATTTGAGTCTTGTTTTATTCTCTGTCTTCCAATCCAAACCAAAAACAGAATGTAGTGTTTTGTCACCTCACCTTCTCCCCTTCAAAATAAGAGTATACATTCAGATGTGAAATATTGTATACGTCACATCCAATTTTCCCGTCTTGGTACAAATAGAAATCTGAATTATGAGCTGAAGTTCAGAATTACATTAAAGTAAGCCTCTAAATAGAAGCATCCATTTTTCTTTCAAGTGTAAAACCGTAATTGATACTTAACTGGGATAATTTCACAATAAAATTGTGTACAACTCAAACCTTTATTCTGAACATAATTCAGTATTGAAAACATTTTTTTTAACAAAAGTACCAGTGTAATCCTGATACTAATTCTTATAGTGTACCTCTCCAGGAATCCATTGTGTCCTGATTCACCAACATGCAGAGTAACTTCAAACATTCTCTCCATGCTTCTACTTTCAAAGAAAACATCACATCTTTTGTGCATTCCTCGCACAATTCCCACCCCCCTATCCCCCCATGATTGTATGAACTTATCTCTTTTAAAAAAGAGAACACCTCTCAGTTCCAGACATTTCCATTCTCCACCCCACACACAGTGTTGTACCGTGACAAAGGGCAGAAATTTCAACATTGAGATGACTCAGAGGACTTTGGCTCCAATATGAATCTGCATTTTCCTTGCACTTCCTGCATGTGTGGTCAAAGTTAAAGTGTAACAGGGTAATGGAAGTGGCTTACAATACATTGGAGCTTTATAAAATATATCATTATATTTCTTTTATGAATAAAAACAGATGGCAGGCTGTATGAATAAAACACAGACTAAATGTACAAAGAAAGTTTGCTCTTTTTATTGCAGGCCATACAAGTGTAGTATTTCCATCTCAATGAGACTGAATAAGGAGAACAGAGTATTAAAAAGAAGCGCTCATCTTATCGCTAATTCTTCTCATCATTGTAGTTCTTTTAAAACCAGCTGGCAACACTCGCCCAGCTTCGACGGCTCCGACACTGTGGAGTACTTGGAAATCTGAGAGCCGACGCCCAGCGAGCGCGCCAAGTCCTGGGCCGTCTGGTCCGAGGCCACCGTGGTTCCCAAGGCAACAAGCAGCCTAAATATAGCCTCCTTGTCCTGTACCGTCTCCAGGGCTCTGCTGGCCACCGATAGACACTGAGCCTTGGCGTCCAGGTCGGGCTGAATGTGAAAGCAGCCCGCGTAGTTCAGCACCAAAGTTGCCAGGGCGATGTGGATGTTCTTGTTGTGGACGGCGGCCAGGTCGGCGGCGCGCGACAGTACGGCTTCGCGCTGCGACACGAGAAGAGCTCGGCCGTGTCTGCCGCTGAAGCTGTTGCACAGCGTGCGCAGCGCCAGCAGCTGGTTGGCGGGGCGACCCTCAGGCCTCATCAGGCTCAGCAGGTGGTTGCACAGCTGGACGCCTTCTGCCTCGCCGCAGAGGCTCTCGTTAACCTGCGGGTGGCGCACCGCAAGCCTCAAGATGTCCAGGACAGGGAACACAATATCTAAAATCCACAAAAACAAAGTAGAATAGAATTTTTTTTTGTTTTGCTTGGTCTTGTTGTGATGGAAAATAAATGAAACGGGAGTTATAGTCAAAATAATTCCTACAAACTAGAAAAAGAAGATGACTTTTTACCTTCAGGCCAATGCGAGACCTTCCAGAGGAGGCTGATCTGCTGAATGGTAGGAGGAGGTTCAGGTGAGTTCACCCCACACACCACCAGCAGCAGCTGCTCAAGGCTTTCCATGGTGTCGTCAGAGAGCTTGTGCTCCCGAGGGGCCCCTACATTCAGCTCCTTTAGCTTGGCTTTGGAAACAGCAAAACAACAAACATTAGGAAGGAATAATTTCTCCTATGAAACAAAATGTGATTTTTCAGAACTGAAGATTTATTTAGTCAATTTTCAGTTTGAAACTCATCTCTCTGCATTTATAAGATTACAAATTAAACATTAAATAAGTTAAAAACTGAGCAATGCTTGCAATATTTCACCAGCACAAAAAACAAAAACATAAGGAATATTAGCTTGCAAGTTAAAAATGTGTTTAAATCACTAAAACACCAACTTTAGCAATAATGTCAGCTGTAATTTAGGTTTTGACTTGACGAATGGCAATAAGAACAGAGACAAAATGTTCACACCTGCATTCAGGCAACTCACCGATAATCTGAGGGGCATTGGCTTGCTCAAAGGTCACGCCATCAGTTTTAGGGAAGTAGATGTTAGTTGAGGTCTGTTTTTGGGCTCCTGAGGAATACGCGCCTTTTCCTGCAAAGCGGAGCGTCAGATCCAGTAAGGGCAAAGTCCAACTCTGAAACCAGTTTTCTGGTTTATCCTATGTTATGCCAAAGCTGAATTACATTTAGATTACTAAGGCTCTGAAAAAGTTTGTGCAACATGGTCTCTCCTGGGTCTGCTAGCTTTTCCAACAAGGTAAACAGATCCAACAAACAAATGACAAACATTTTTTTTTTCTTTTACAAATAAAAGGCCTGAAAAGTTTGGTGTGAATTCAACAACCTTTTCTCTAAAACCCCTGGATAAAATCCGTTTCTGAAGAAAAAAATTTCCCGCAGAAATCTGCAAGATTGTATGTACTTCACAATTCAATGTCAGTATGAATCTGAGTGTTCTGTGAAAGTCTCAGAGGTTTGTCAGAAAAGTTAGAAAAGAAACCAAAAAAAAACCATGAAAACCAAAGAAAACACATCAGAGGTGAAGATGTGTAGAAGACTAAAAGAGGTTTTGGTTTATTCATTCTATGCCAAAGAACTAAAATGAAGGAAAACTTCAAAGATTTTCTGTATATAAAATAAAAAATTTACATCTAGTAAGTGTTTATGACCTCTTTAGCTCCCTTGTTTCTCATATTCCAGATGGTCAATCCAGGGAGTAACTCACCAGTGAATGGATCTGCCACACCTGAAGGAGCGCTGGCGTTGGAACTTGACCCTGGGATGTAGCGCCCAGCACCTGTGAGTAGAACAAACAAGGCAGTGGAACCATATTCACCAGTATCGCTCATAATGTGAAAAAGCCCAGCAGTGAACAGTCTGACCTGTAAAAGGATCTGCGCCGAAGCCGGAGCCATCGTTAGATGAGCCAGGAACGTATCGAGATCCTCCTGCCACAGAAATACACAAACAGTTTAAAAGGTAAGATTTAGTCACGAAGGTGAACATGTACAGTATAATGGGCCTCATATGATAGACCATATCAGATTCTGGTGTGTAATTTTCACAAATGAAAAGTTTTATGCAAGATTTATAAAACTGTGTGTAGCCTACGTTTTTGGCCACATCAGTCAAAAGTCATAAAAAAGTCTAGAACCACTTCTTCTTAGAGCAGGGGTGTCCTAATTTTTTGTCAAGTGTGCCAAAATCGCTGTGTCAAAAGTTCTTGTAGAGGAAGAAAATAAAATTAAAATCAGGCCAATAAAGTTATTTTACTTGTTTATTTTTATCCAAACTTTTCTTTCAAACCACTTGCTATATTTAGTCACGTTTAATAAATTAACCAAGAGCCAATTTGGGTGTAGCACAGTCTCTGGATAGACGTGGTTGTGTATATTACTTAAGCTTAGTCATGAAAAGACAAACACTTTGTGTTGGACTTAACATTTTTCATTATATATAAAACATATCTTTAAATAATTTTTCTCCGATCACAAATAAAAAGTTTCCTTCTGTATCAGCCACCTGGGCTGGACAGGTTAAATTTGTATCATTCTAGAACTGCAGTTGAGGGGCCACACTTTAAACACACTGACTTATAAGCAAGCCAGAGATCTATATTCTCTAGAGAAAACATGCAGATTGTTGTCCCCTTTCTAAAAGGCTGATCCATGATGGTTTTGTCTTTGTTTTATAATAATTGTAAAGCTGTTTTTTGATGTCACCTGTGCTTCTAATGTAAAAAATACACCATTTAGGGTGAAAAAAGGAAAACATGGCTCTTATTTCTTATGCTTTTATAGTTATTGAAGACAAAATGGAATTGGCTAGTAAGTCAGAAATTAGACGTAAAACTCTCAATCTGGGAAACAGAAGTTTAGTTCCAGTTCTGGCTAACTGCCTCACCTGTGAACGGATCGCCACCACCGATCTGAGCAGGACCCACCACGTGTCCTTTAGTGTTCTCGATAATAAAATTAGCAACTTGGTCGAGGAACATGGGGCTGAGGTCGTTTTTCTGCAGAAAGTTGTGCGCCACCAGCCAGGGGTCGTCGGTCACGTTGTAAGGCAGCTTCATGGACGGCCCTTCCTCGTTCACGTCGATGGTGAGACGTAGTCGTACTCCTGAGGCCAGAAGGCAAATCGTCAGTCAGAGCTCTGGTGCAGCGATCTTCTCCGCAGCACTGAGCTTGTCGTCTTACCTTCCCTTCGTACACAACGCTCTTAGAGGTCTGCTGGTTGGAGCCGCCGACCACGTCCCCGATTTTCACCCAGCGGCCATCGCTGACGCTCCACTGGTACGCCTCCACCTTCTGTCCGTCTTTGATCAAACGTGTCTGCCCGTCGCGATTCCCTGTAATAGATTTAATGTTAATCTAACATGGGTTAAAAAAAAAAAAAAAAACGCACCAATGCCATTTGATAAAAATATTCCTACCGGGCTCGTTTAGGTGTTCTCTTCCAGGAAGGTCTTCCAGTTTGATGTCTCCAAGATCCCCCGTCTTCGGGTCTATGGTGGCTTTGGAGAGCTCGTCCTCAAAGGCCTGTAGGTCTTCGGCGCTCGCCATGCGGTCCTCAGCTTCCGTGAAAATGCGAATAATGCCATCGCTGTGGGCAAAGACAAAGCATTTCAGAAAATAAAACAGAAGACCAAGTATTAAAAAAAAAACCATTTAGAGTGGATTGGATGCCGCCATTAACATTACCTGGCACCAACAGCAATGTCCCCATTGGGTAGAACACAGCAGCACCAGACTGATTGGGCTGGGAAACGGATGGTCTGGCAGCACTCCCCTTGCCTCCATATCCTTAACGATCTGTCCTCTCCTGTACTGATAAAATCTGAGACGACACCACATCAGCATTAGATTTAGTGCCAGAAAGAAGACGTATTTTCATAGTAGGTGCTCCTGGCTTTGTGCTTCTGTTTTCTCTGCTTCACTTCGCTAGACAGAGCAATGGACAACACATTAACGTCAGTAACTTGGTCTGTTCTCTTTGAGTTTCCCCCCCAAAGAAAAGTATTCCTCATCCAGAATTACTGCATTTTGTTCTTTGTGTTTACATTGGCAGAATTAAAGTTTTGGATTTGATTTTCAAAGCCTGAGTCCCCACAGATGATGATAAAATTAAACAAAATCATAGGTGTAACAGGTTTGTTTAAAGCCACACAGCAGATACTACACTGACAAATTTCACTCACAAACATTCGGATGTCAGATGGGAACTCTCACACCAGATCATTTGTTTTATACACCACACAAAGCAGAAACATTTCAGAAAATTATCTTTATGGAGACATTGTGAGAATTGGAGCATACTTATCAGAAATGAGAAATGTGATGGGATCCTAATCTTTGAAACATGGATATAGTAAACAAACCTTCACTATTGGGGAAGACTGCAAGGCTGTAGATGTAGTTGGTGTGACTGTAGTAGACCTGTATGCATTCGCCCGTCACCTGCCACCTTCGAATACTTGTGTCATTGCTGCAGGATAAGAACTCTGTGTTGCTGATGACTGCCAGTCCTCTTACACAATCCTCATGTCCTAAAGTGAAACACATAAGCTTTGATAAGCATTATCAAAGCTTATCAAAGCTTTGATAATGCGCACACAAAACTATTCATTTTTCTTCCACTTCACAGTTACGCACCAGTTTGTGTTGCAGTATTACATGATTAAAATAAAATACACTGAATTTTGTGATTGTAACCTGACAAAATATGCAAGAAATGAATAAGCAGTGTGAATACTTATTCATGGAACTATGTTTTTAAGTTCCTTTCAGTCTTTTAGATAACATTTCATCAAGTATAATCACTTGGAATCGTTTTAATATGTGGTGCTTTTCATTGATGTAGTTTCATATTTCACTTTTAATCATGTCTTTAAAAATTGACATACAAAAAACAGCAGGTCAAATTGTTTGGTGATATTCTGTAATAGAAAAGTTGCTTTCTGAAAACCTTCATTTTAAAAAATAATTTATCAACTACATTCCCAATTTCAGCCTTGATTATCTTACATTATTATTATTATATGGTTCAGCTGTAACAGTTTGGAAAGTTAAATGTTTTATGTTATTAACATTTAACTTGCTATAAAAAAACAAAAAAAACATGGATTCAGTAGCAAAGCCAAATGTGTGTCCTCACGAACAAAGGAAAAAATGAAAATTAACCTAAAAACAATTCGGAAATGTTTTATTTACAGCCAAAAATTTGGAAAATCAAAAGCTGCGGCACTAACTACTTATAAAATGTAATTATTAATATGACTTTATGTTCAGCTATGCTTCTGAGGTGAAATAAAAAGAAAAAATATACAATGAACCTTTCTAGTGAAAGAAAGATGAAGGTGACTCGATAAAAGACTCACCTGTAAACGTTCGCTCACATCGGCCAGCCCTCCAAAGCTTGACGGTCTTATCTGCTGATCCTGAAAGCATGAGGCCTTGTTCAGGTAGGATGATCACCGCCCAAACAGCCGCAGTGTGTCCCTGCAGAAAGATCAGCAAGCACATGATGAGCTTTCACTTTCAAAGCAAACCTTCAACAGGCCGTTTTCAGGTCATCTAATATAATAATACTAAAAATGTTGAACAGCTCGATCAGATAAAACTGATCTCCCATGCAATGATAATTAGGATTTAATCAGAGATAGGAGTTTAAAATATTCAAATCAAAAGGAAATTAAAAATAACACATTTGCTTGAAGGATGTAAAATATCTCATCTAGTACTAAATCAACTTTAATCAGTTGAGTTTCTCGGAATACTTTCAGTGAATGACTTTCAGTGCTTCAATAGAAAACAAAACTTGGAAAAAAACAAACAAAAAACATTGCATACCTGCAAAGTCATCATGCACTTCTCATTGAGCCAGACTTTGGCCGTTGTGTCCCAGGAGCCACTCAAAAGCGTTCCAAATTTCCCAGAGGACAAAGTGCAAACTGAAAGAAAAAAAATTATATTACAAACTTGAAAGCAACATGCATTGTCAACGTTTTTGATACAAACAAATTAGTGAGAACTCACCTGTATTTTTGTGACCTTCCAGGGTGTAGAGGGGCTGCGGCCGGTCCAGAGTAAAAATACAAACGTTGTTATCATTCCCACCAGTGGCAATCAGCCCTCGGGGGTACGTTTCATTGGGTGCGATGACGCATACGCAAGATACAAAATTTGAGTGTCCAGACATACAATGCATCTCAGAGAATCCTACCTCTGGGCTGTTGGGAGGAAAGTGACAAAAAAGAAGACACAATTTGTAAATAAATCAGATTGTAGAGCTAATCATCGCTAAAATATTTGTCACATAAATATTATACATCTTCATTGTAAGCAAATAGTCATCTAAGGGATAACCCATGGATCTGTTGGATGAATACATAAGCTGGTTCTCACATTTCTTTAAAATATTCACAACGTTATCCCTGGCCATCTGCTGTATTCCTTGGTCTTGAAGATAGTTGTGTACAAATGCTGCTGTATCAAACCTCTGAGGCCTTCACAGAACAGCTAGATTTAAAAGACACACAGGCGGATTCCATTTTCTAATTAGGTAAGATAGGAAAACATTTGGTGCCCCTCGATTTTATTTAAGTGCAACAGAAAAAAAGCCACAAACCATGTTTCGAATCTCTTTCACAAAAGAGTTTATGTATTATTTTTGCCAGGTCCTGTATTTTCATCAGTGACCACGCCTGCAATGTTAAACCAACGCTATTAAACTTAAGTAAAATGCACAAGAATTCATATGAGTCTTTAACTTTCTACATTAATAATATATTTGAAAGCCCATCCTATGTCTAGGCGGGATAAATTGAAAAGTTACATTTAGAGGCATTATGCCGATACCTGGAGATACGTACATACTTTAACTCTTTATAACCACTTTAATAGCATTTCTCATTACATAAAAATTAAATCATGACTATTTTTGTTCGCATGCCAAGAGATTTAAAAAAATATTCTAAGACAAATTTCTTAAATTGTTCAGAACACCATTATATTTTTACTATTTTATTCACACAGCTTTCGGGGCAATTTGTCCAAATGACATTCACCATCTTTCCTCTCTCCAGAATAATGCATGTTCATGGACCAAAACAGGCAACGAAAGTCAGTTTTATAAATCTGCCATTTGCTACTATTCAGACTCGAGATCATCCACTGAAACGCCCGACCACAGACAGGTGCAGCGGAATGAATGACAAAGCTAATTTCAGCGAATGTTAGCTTCCTTGCTAACCGTTACTGAACAAAGAACGTGATGACATGGATGCTCACGGGAGGAAGTTTTGTTCTAAGTGCTATTTTTAAGTCTCGATGCATTCCTTTGTCATAAGATAACTTGTTAGGGGGCTTAAAGTGTTAACTTGGGAGCACAATTAGCAAGCAGGAGGTTAAATGCTAAGGCTAGCTACCTGGAGTTCGGTACCCAAACTCTTCCGGTTCGGTCTCTGGACACGGACACGAAAGCTCCCTCTGGAAAAATGGCGGCCGCCAGTCCCCTCACGTCCATCTCGTGGCCCGGGATGGAGCATCTGAGTTTGAACGAGTTAGATGATGCCATGTTTTTGGACAACTACAACAACAAAGTGAAACTATGACGCCAGTGTTAAAGCTAAGCGGTGCCGCTGTCAACATCCGCCGCTTCTGATTCCGGAAAGGGAACTTTGTCACGCAAACGACTCAGTCTTTCAAAATAAAATTACTATTTTGTTTGTTTTATTTGGTAATTCAAATACACTATTTGTGTTCAAGGCATAGTCATGTTGTAGTAACTCATAGCATCCAAGTATTTTTGAGTGGTGGATGGTGATGCTAGGGGCAGGAAGGATCTGCAGTAGCAGTCATTCATGCAGCAATTCTGAAGAAGCCTCTGACTAAAGACTGTTGTATATCTGTTGACCATCATGCATAGCTCAACTTCTGAGTAGCAGAACTGACACTGTTAAGACATTCCTCCTGGCTTTGGTTGTTTCTCGAAGGCAGAGAACCTTGATGGGTTTTTTTTACAGATTACATGGTGACAATTTCAACAAATATGTAAAAATAGATATTTTATAAACCATTTCAAACTGCAGCTTTAATGTTTTTGCATTTTTATGTTTTGTTTGTTTGTGCTCTTTTTTCACATGTCAAGATGACTTGCTCATCATTTCATAATAAACCTAGTAGACCTGGAGCCCCGGGTTGGAGTAGCTCAGGGTAGAGACTGGCGTTCAGACAAGTGCCTGTAATCCTGACAGTGACAGAAAGCACAAGTTGGACGAGTAAATCCTCTTTACTTTCTGAACAAGTTCTTGTTTTGTTCAACAAGTCCTGCAGAATGTTTTTCACAGTCAGAATTGAGAGGCTATAAAAGGAGAATGTGGCTCCACCTCTGGAAAGTTGGTTGTCTCTCCTTAACATTGATATATTAAAAGTCTGTTTCGTTTGCCTTTTTAAAAAAAAAAAAAAAAAAAGCTAAACCTGGTCGACAACAAACCCCGGTTACACTTTGGTTGAGGTGAACTCCACGGACGTTTGAACGCGTACAGACGCCAAGCGGACTGGAACATTCTGGTTAAATACAACCTAAACAAATGCGCTAGCATATCGCTAGTGGAGAACATGGTTCATGTTCTTTTACCAAAATAAAATCCAACGCTAATCCATTTTAATTGATATTTCTCAAAGAAGGAAGTTGAATGCTTGTCCTCTTCATGCGTATTCATGTCGTTTCCTTCAGTGGTACTTGGTGCAGCGCCACCACAGGCGAGGAGAGGAACAGGTTCCTCAAAGGGTTTCATCTTCTAATTGAAGATTTTCAGCTGCAGGATGTGAAAATAGAGCCAAAGTTTGATGAAGTTTCAGCCGTTGAGCCCTTCGTTCCACCTGAAGATGCTTCAGACATCATAGATCTGGAAGACATTGTGCCAAAGATCCGGTTCATTGAAGATTTTTAATTTTAGACTTAGTTCGTAGTTAGTTCATTTAAAACTTATTAGTTAGTTCATTTTAAACATATTAGTGAGTTCATTTTAAACTTAGTAGTTAGTTCATTTTAAACTTAGTAGTTAGTCAATTTTAAACTTAGTTCATTTTAAACTTGTTTGTGTTAAGTAGTTAGGTCTTTTTATACTTAGTAGTTCGTTCATTTTAAACTTAGTAGTTAGTTCATTACAAACTTGTTCATTTTAAGTAGTTCGGTCTTTTTATACCTGCTCATGTTTATTTGTTAGATCATTATAATTATCTCACAATTAGATTATAATAACCTCATTATCGCGAGACAAAATATAAGATTATAATTCTCTCATGATAATGAGGTCATTGAGATAGCATCTCAATATATGGAGTAGTTAGGAGATAATATTATCTCAAGACCTTAACTGTGATTCATTATAATAAAATTATCTTATAATATTATAATGAGATATTATCTCAATATAGTGTATTGAGATACTATATAATTATATACTGTGAGATTTTCTCATAGTATATAATATTATTGTTATCTCACTAAATTAGATAATTATCATATTAAAATAATGATATAGTATCTATTATTATCTCATTATTGCTCTTTTTTATCAGAGTGGCGCCGTCACGTTTGTGTTTCTGCAACAACAGGTCAGCGTCATTAATGTGACGTAGCCCTATTTCCAAATAAAGTGGGCGGAGCCAAAGACAATATGCAAAGTAGCATGGTCTGAATGACAACAACCCTCCTCGTTTGCGTTTACCTGTACTTTTTAAATCTCTGCCTGGCTCTGTGGTTAAAGCTGGGCAGAGAGACGTTGAGGTTTGAGACAATGTTGTAGCACTCGAGTCTCAAGACCGGTCTGGTCTCGGCGCTGAGGACTCGCGATTTTATTTCAAGACCAGTGAAGACCTTAACTGTGATATCACTAAACGTACCGCATACTATCCAGTTTATTTGTTAACATGTTCGTTTTCACTGGATGCATAACAGACCGACTAAAATCCAAGCAATAACGTGACTTACCAGTTATTGTTTCTGTTACTCCCCCCAGGCCCTCCCCGGCTTTCACTCCAAGACATGCGCAGTGGGGTTTCTCAACGTCAGAAGATGTCTGTCTAATCGTTAGTAAGCTAGCTGAATTGCGCTGCGTAAATCAAGAAATCCGATGACGACAGCGAATTCAGACAATTCGCTTTCACAGACGGTGGGGACTTCGTCTAACTTTTTTCGTCACTTATAAAAGAAGCTCAAAGAAAGATAAACTTCGTTGACGTGATGTTAGCAAGGCTAGCTGTACAGAGACACATAAGCATTTGAGATGAAAAAAGTCACTCACTGCGCCGAATTATTGTGCGCAGGTGTTGACTAACGTGTCACAAATATGGGACAACGCTGTGTCCAAAAGTCTGCAATATAACGATATGACATTAACGAGTCTTCCTTTGTTATGTTGGTTCTGATTTTGTATTTTTGGTTGAAGCAGATCTTTCTTTTTCTTTTTATGATATGTAAAATATATATGGCAAAAACATCTTATGTTTTCATACTGGGAGCAGCTAATTAGCGTATCAAAAGCTAAAATAATACTTGAACTTTACGACCCCAACTCCCGGAGGACTTGAAAAAGAGGCTTCATGACTCTAGAGCAGAACCAAGGAGTAGAAAGCTGAAACAATTTCTTCCTTTGATCATAATAGACAACAATCACATCCCAAACTGCAATGTATCCCCGCATGTCTTGTTAGTTATTCTGCCAGACATAGATCTAAAATTAAATAGAATTGCTTGCCAATAACCTAAGATGTCACCCAGGACACATTAATGTGGAATATCATATCCTGCTTGGATATTATGTTCCTGGCATGTCTTAGAAAAACAGTCTTCAGTCAGAGGCTTCTTCAGAGTCGCTGCGAGATTGACTGCTAGCGGAGCTACTTCCTACCCAGAGCGTCACAATCCACAAATCTTTAAAGATGGATGATGAGTTATAACAATACTTGGGTATTTTTGAATTGAACTAAACTGAATCAATTGGCCAAAAAAAACATCTACCTCTTTGAATTCACACGGACGAGTTTTAAAACGGCATCCATGCCTTTATTTTCCTAACCGTAACTCAACCGGAAACAGTTCTCTGATTGCAGGTAACCAGGATTTGTCCAGCCCACACACAGTCGGTTGAGGAAGTAGCCGCTGGGTTGCTCCATGCACTCCGCAGGGCAGCGTTAAAGCAAAGAAACAAGTAAGTGGTGTTTTCCTGTACATAATAATATCCTAACCGACACTTCAGGGGTTTAATAGTTTATTCTTACATCATCGGAACTGAGTGTAACTCCGCTGGGCCCATCTGTTAGCTAACATTGTTGGGGTTGAATGGAGCCAAGCCCATCACGGTGTCAGGTGTTGTCGGTATGAATGGAGATGGAGGAGGCTTATCGTAACTACTACTTACCGGTCTTGTGCGAAATTCGGTTCCCCTGTGAAAATCTGTTCCCCCTGCGTCGGGAGCGCGCATTACAGCCAGAGAGGCGAAAGAGGCGGATCTGATCATTTTCACGTCGCTTCTGATCGATTTCTCGGTAAAAAAAAAAAAAAAAAAACAACTAATACAACCATGTCAATGTTGTAACACTCAGTTTAATTTGCAGCTGTTGTTTAAAAAAAATTGTAAAATAAATAAATAAACGAGGTCTTCTGACGCTGTTTTGTGTTATTGTAAACACCAAGAGAATCGCTCTTTTCTCACGTAAGTCTGGCAGAAATAAAAGTCAGTCACCAAACACAGTTTTCCCAACACGTAGTGTGTATGTAAAGGTTTTTGTGAATTTGGAAACAGTTGTTCTTTATTCCCCAAGGTTATGGAGTAAGGAGAGGAAATAATGGATGATTCAGCAGCCTGAAATATTCTGTTCCCCCTCCATAAAATGGGAACAAATTATTTTACCTGCAAATGCTTAACTTTGCCTATTCCTCTCATCATCAACAATAAATACTGTGATTTTGGTATCATTTGCTCTTATTTTGCCAGAGTTATGAGGGGGGAACCATATATTTCTGCTGGCTAAAATATTCTGTTCCCCTCCATAAAATGGGAACAACTGCACTTACCAGCAAGATTTTTTCTCTGCTTATTCCTCTCATCATCAACAATAAATACTGTGAATTTAGTAGAATTTGCTCCTTTTTTGCCAGAGTTATGAGGGGGGAACCATATATTTCAGCTGGCTAAAATATTCCGTTCCCCCTTCATAAAATGGGAACAAATTGTTTTACCTGCAAATGCTTAACTGTGCTTATTCCTCTCATCATCAACAATAAATCCTGTGATTTTGGTAGCATTTGCTCCTTTTTTGCCAGAATTATGGGGGGGAACCAAATATTTTAGCTGTTTTACCTGACTGAAATTATCCGTTCCCCCTCAAAACATGGAAACAAATGTATTTATCAACAGTAATCATCAACAGCAAACTGGCTGTTGGCAAACAGCAAGTTTGAAAACATTTCATCACTATTTGCTCCATCACCATCTCCACCTGCTGCAGCAACTCCCCCTGCTCCAGTCCCTCCACCGACTCCATCCCCACCTCCTGCTCCATCACCGTCTTCCTCTTATTTTAATAAAAGAAATAATTTCAGTATCATTTTGTTTTAATAATATACTGAAATTATTCCTTTTATTAAAATAAGATGAAAGCATATCAGTACAAAGACATAAAGTCTTTGTGAGACATATATGTATGATAATAAAAACTGAAATGCATGTGCATTGATATATATTTATAAGAATTGGAAATCAAATTTACATTTCTCAGCTTGAGTTTTTTTCTGGACTGGACAGGAGTCAATGGCAGAGCAGAGGAAGACGGTGATGGAGCAGGAGGTGGGGATGGAGTCGGTGGAGGGACTGGAGCAGGGGGAGGTGCTGCAGCAGGTGGAGATGGTGATGGAGCAAATAGTGATGAAATGTTTTCAAACTTGCTGTTTGCCAACAGCCAGTTTGCTGTTGAAGATTGTTGATTCTGACGCTCATAGAGGTGTTATAATATCTGTTATTAAAAAATTGATGTCAAACGTAACGGGTTGAAAATCGAGGTTGTGATAAATACTATATATATATTTTTTATCACAGCGTATATTTTTATTTTTGACTCCTTCTATTGCCTCAAGTGTAACAGAAATTGTAGACAACATATCTTCCAATTATTTCCAGTTATGATGTTGAAAACGCCATGAAAACAAATAGTGTTTTTGTATTTTTCTAAGTGTTATTTTATAATATTTTTATATCAATATAATATAATATATAATATATTATATTGATATCAATATAACATAAATTTTACTATTTTCTCCAATGTTTTTTATTTTTATTTTATTTCACGAGAACATCGATAAATACCAATACATTTCTAGTGGTCATTGGTTGAGAGACAGGTACACACTGGATGGGCCATCAGTCCATCACAGGGTAACAGAGACCATCCACATACCTATTTCTAAGGACAATTAATAGTGAATGACTACCTTTTTATGGTCAACTTGGACAAATAGTTTCAGCAACAAGTGAAATGAAGTGAAGCACAAAACAGAAGAAGGCTCAAGCATTTCTTGTAACAAACAATGCAGATCCAGCTCCCCTCCTTGGATAGTTTCACTGTTCTTTGCATTTTAAAGGACGTCGCTGAAACGGTCGGTGAAACTCGTTTAAACACTTTTCAAGTATTTCTGAGCCTAAAACTAAAAGAAGCCTTTCTAAGAGGAAACAAAGCACCTTTAAGAAATAGAGAAAGTAATCTCTATGAAACATTATCTCAGGAAAACTTGGTTTGAATTAGTTTCCAGAGGATCCAGTAAGCGGGAGCAACAGCAGCAATGAAGCTTCGCCTTCACTTCGTAGTGGATCCGATGGGCTGGCTCTGCATCAGCATGGTGTTTGGGATCTGGCTCTACAACACGTTCTTCGTTCCCAAACTGGTGCTGCTCCCACACTATGACGAAGGGCACATCCCCTGGGCCTTAGTTGTTTGTGAGTGTCGCTGTTTCTCCTGAGGATTTCAGTAACGGTCCAGTGAATGGCTCTGGCTCATTAAGCCTCACGTCTATGTGTATCAACAGGTTATTACCTAGCGTCGGCTCTATGTGTGATGGCCCTGTTCAGAGCTTCCACCGCAGATCCCGGCCGTCTTCCTGTGGATCCACATATACCTCACTCTGGTACGAAAAGCCTTTCTTTCTGTGACTCTTTTAGTTTATTTAGAAGTATTTGCAGCTCTAAACCATAGATGTATTTGTCTCACAGAAAGAGAACAGTGGGAGTTGTGCAATAAGTGCAACTTAATGAGACCTAAAAGGTCGCACCACTGCAGCCGCTGTGGTCACTGTGTGCGCAGGATGGACCACCACTGCCCCTGGTGAGCATATACGGTCACTGATCTTATTTATTCCCATTAAGTGTTTGCTTGACTGTGTTTGACATGTTGAAATAGCAACCTATAGAAAACCTATAGAACAGTATAAGGGTTGATCATTTTTTATTAGTTTTTGTGTAAAATAGCTGTACTCTTGCCAACCTTTCCTTCTTTCTCCACATTCTCCTCTCCAGCCGTTGTACTCATTTTCTTCCTTTACTCTTTGCTGCTGTTTATTATTTTCAAACAGTTGAGACGCAGTGATGAAACCTGAAATTGCTGCTGCACAAGTTCCTCAACAGGTTGTTGCTTGGTATCGAAAGAGTGAATGAGTTAGTAGATTAATAGCCTACTAAGCCTTTCATCTTCTACATTTCCCAAAATGCTTTGTGGTTCTGGATTGGAAGTTCAGTGAAATTATTGAACACTGGACTGGCCGTATTATTAAAGGATACTGATCATATGTGTGTTGCCGAGCCACAGCTCCATCCATCAACTTCCCTATTCCTGCTGACAAAGATCATGCCCACAGTATGATTCTACCTCCACCATGTTTCAAGGTCACAGTGTGTACTGTTTTCTGCTTCTTACAGTGTTTTGGATTTAGTGTGGTGACTAATAAAATAGAATACAATAGAAAATAAATATTATTTGTCTCTCAGCTGAAAAATTCTGAATCCCTTCACACAAAGATAGAAAGTATTTAAAATGTATTTTTAAAAAAACCCAAAAAATTAAGAATAACTGCAGTTACCAGAAATGGTGCAATACTAGGTATGTGTAACTGAGAATCATTTGTTAGAAATGTGTATTTGTGCATTAAAAAAATAATAGACTGTTTAGAATGTATGAAAACTAAAATCATAGTTTGATCACAATTTGACTGTTGGGCGCTTCGGCTACTGCCTGTACTCATGCAGCTCCATAAGTGATCCCTGTGACAGCCAGTTTAAAGGTTCTGGTTCCTTTCAAATTGAATCAGTTCATTTTCTGTTTCCATTCTGCATGTGTATTAAAGTCGCCTCAGTTTTGTATTTTTGTGAATTCTTTTTGAACATTACTTTCAACATTTTCTCTTGTGTACTGGCGAAAATCAGAAGCACAAACTTCACACATAAAAGGAGAGCTGATTCTTTAAACTTGAAGCTTTTTTTCTTCTTCTTGAGGTGCCAGGGCGCCGACCAGCCTCACTGTCTCCTCTGATGAAGTCGTCCAGGAATACATACACTCTGACGTTCAGCAAAGTTCAAACCCTTCCTCCTGTTTCCTGTCTTGCAGGATCAATAACTGTGTGGGAGAAGACAACCACTGGCTCTTCCTGCAGCTGTGTTTTTACACTCAGGTCCTCAGCTTATTCACACTGGTGCTGGACTTTTGCCAGTACTATTATTTCCAGCCCCTGACAAGACTAGACCAGGTAAATTAGTGTGCTTGCATTCTTGCCAATATCTAGAAATAGCTTTAACTTGTACATAAATTATAATCAAATTGTTTAAAGAAAAAAAAACAGAAAATATGGAATTGTTTATTGTATTTACTGTTTTTAAAAAAAAATTTCCCCTTCCAGGAAAAGTTTACGACACGTCATGAACTGGCTCTGCTGCGAGTTTCAGCGCTCATGGGCGTGGTCATGTTCGGTGGCATGTCGGGCTTGTTTTACACGCAGATGGCTGGCGTCCTCTCTGTGAGTACTTTAAGGACATTAAGCTGCTGCTGCTCTGATGCTGACTTTTCCTTTTATTAAATTACAGCAGCCTGCAATATTAATGGCATCCTAGTGAAGTTGTGAACATACTGACTTGGTGACCCCACCATGACCTTGTTTGAGGTTTTGATTGAATATTAACTTCCTTGTATGCTTGTCCAGCTGTGTTCTTCACTGCTCCAGTTGTGTCAGTCGCTTTAATTTTTGAGCCTACTGAAAATACGAGCAAATTTATGACAGTGGTCGCCATTTTCTGTTTTACTTGAATGTTTTTTTTTTACATCTTTCCTATTGGCAAAGAGAAGAGTGGCAAAGAGAAATTGGCCTCACTCCTCACAGAAGCAGAAAATTATGGATTAGAAATTAATTGGAAGGCTTACAAACTGTTCAGCAAAGAATAAATTGTTGGATTTTCATTAAAGGGCTTATGAAGAGCGCCAAAATGTCCTGAATGAAGTTGGTGCCCCACCCTCTTCAAATCAAACAAAATTGGTGTCAAATGTTTGTGCTGCTCTCATTTTAAAGATATTAATATCTAGAGGTCATCAAAGATCAACCAGCCACCCACAAGCACAAGGTTACTACTTTATTTGTGATACAAAAAAAAAAGATTTCTTTTGTGATTTTCTGCAGGATGTGACCACTATTGAGAAAATGTCTCAGTTCTCCAGTGAAACGTGAGTGTTTTTCTTTTCTAACAGATGGTTGCAGCTTGAAATTCATACAAATAAAAAAATTTGTATAGGCTGCTGAATGACTGCCATTCAGACACAAATTCTCAGTGTTTCCATAATTTTTGTCAAAAATAATACAAATAGGCTTATCTTGTCTTACAGCAGAGTAGCTGACTATGTAATGCGAATGTAGCACAGAATGGGAGACTTCCAAACACAGCTTTAAGTAGATTGCGCAATATATTGTAAATATAAATAAAGATGTGTTATTCTCGTTTAGTTTTCTCTATGCTGTTTATATTGTGAGTTTATTAAAAACCCGCCACAGAAGCCCAAGGCTGACCTAGCTCACACATCTCTATTTGCGCTCTTTGTTTTTAACAAATATTCATGCCATCCCCGATGCTGTGGCGCCCGGGGCAAATCAGCTAAGTTTCTCAAAAGCAGCCACTTAGCTTTATACGTAAAACAAAACTTCCAAATGTGTTGAGGTGATGTATTTTTCTGCTTAGATATGGGGCAAAACGAACGTGGCAGTGGGCGCTCGCTGAGGTTTGTGGGACGCGCTGGAAACTTCTGTGGCTCCTCCCGCTGCGCAGCAGACAGCCTCTCCACGCCGGCCACCGCTACCGCAGCCACGTGTAGCTCTGTGGCTCTACATTCCCCTTCCTGCCTGCACTTTCGGTAGAAGTTGCTACACTCCACATATTCCTAAAACAAACCTGTCTGCACACCTTCACCGCCCTCCACTGCGCTACGAGAGCTGGGCACCAGATACTTTACTGTTATCTTGTTTTGTTTTTTCTCGATTTTATTCAGTTTCTGTCCAGAAACAGGGTCACAAACACTATTTTGGAATGATGGAAAAATGTTTTGATCACTGTGACTGCTATTTTTAGCATCTGGAAACCACCTTTAATGGTTATTTACATGATGGAAGCAGTGGGGCATCTCTCAGGTTACGTCATAAAGAGCCTTCACTAGTAATTAGCTACAGACAGGATAACTACAAATCTGTTAAAGAGTTTAATTTTTTGTATAAATTTTGTGCCTTGTTTTTGTTTTTGGTACTTTTTATTTACCACATTTTAGAAAAGGGTTTGAAGTATGACTACCTTCTAATGATTCATGAATGTTTTCTTTCATTGTTTTACTGTGGTTTTAACTACAACGTGTGTATTTTTAGGAGCATAATGCCACTGAACAAAGTTGATACCTTTCAATCTAGAGACGTCGTATGACGACTGAGAGCACTTACGCAAAAACAAGCTAATATAATCACTTCTTAATCGTGACTTTCGTAGTTAATCCTGTTGTTAAATATGAGTTTAATATTCACTGATCAGTGGTTGTTTCCTGTATATTATTTGCCAAATTATACTGTTAGAGATACCTTGAGTCATGAAATGTTCAAGGTACAGTCATAAGAAAAAAAAAATTATCTCTTATACAGTCATGGGACAAACTAAGTTCACTCACTGCATAATTTATTAGCCAGTAAAACCACCATTAGCAGCAATAACCCGACTTTATCAGTCACTCAGCATCAGTCCAGTGAGAATTGTAGTTCTTATTTATTGCTCATCCACTACACCACATCAATTAGGTTGACGTCAGTAACCATAGCTACACCTTGATTCTAATTACCTAATTGGCTAATTTTTCTCTCTGTCCAACCTTTACTGTAGGACAGATTAAACTTTGACATACAGAGGAGTTCAGGGTTCTGTGGCCACCTAACAAGCCCAAATCATTGCTCTGATTGTCATATGGTATTGGGGTGTATTTATCAATACGGCACTGTGTGCTATGGTCAAATATCTCTGCTTTAATCTCAATTATATCTTGTGGTTTATACCATTTTTACCATTCCTGGAATGAACTTTTAACATTTCACACACAAACTGATGGATGGAGAATCTGCAATTGGGCTCTTGTTTTGTGTTTGTCAATTTCTTTGAGCGTGAACAGTCTTTCTGGGATGTCCACTCAGGGGAATTGTCAACTGACTTAAAAGATTTGCACCCTGAATGATCTTTATCTCTGTAGAATAAGGAGCTTCAAATTATCTGGAAGTGTCTCTATAATCCTTCTGAGGTTGACTGATTCAAACAGCTTCTTCTTTCCTCGTTATTGCTGATGATTTTGGTCCTTCTCATTGTGTTAAAGGGGCTGTATCATGTAAAATCATCTCTTTTTTTGGCTTTACTTCATGTTATAATCATACTACCTAATCAAAAACATACCTGGAGGTCATGCATGTTTGAGAAATTCTCCCATTACAACCATTCAGCTATGTAAGATGTGTAGTCTCACTGAGTGACGCCTTTCTACACAAGCTCCTTCAGACTAGCGGTAGCAGCAATTAGCAAACAGCTAGTGGAAGTGTGAGTCTGCTGAACTCATCATAGGAACTACTTAGCAGTGCAGTGCTGCTAAAAACATTGTAATGAGTGTCAGAAAGAGCAGGAACTTCTTAAAGAGACACAGGCCCAATTTCAAAATATTCAACTGCAAAATCAAATTTATTTTAAGTAATTTTTGACGTACACAGCATTTTTTATAACAACAAAAGTTAACATTTACGTTATTGTGCTATAAAATGGCACTATGTACCTGGAAAAGACATAGTACTGCCACTTTAACACAAATCTGCTGCATGTTGCAGCAAGAAACCCACGCTTTTATAGAGGTGGTCAGACTTGCTGATGATCAATTACAAAACAGCACCTCACTGCTCCTTTTTTCCTAAAATCTAAAACAAGCATCATACTAATACTTAGATTTTTCCCTTGACTGTGCTGACACTTATCAAAACTTTGTTTCTTCCACCTGTGTAAGTTATGTCAGTATAACAAGTCAGTTTGCTGCTGAATAGGTAGAAGAAATTTGGTCATTTTCACATTCAAAGAATGTGAAAATATACTGACCACATTGGTAATCCGTTATTTTAAATCAACTTGTTGTATTGACCATAGCACTTGCAATTCAGAGGATTAGTACAAATATTTTTCCTGTGGATTTTGAGATATGACACTTGAGTCCTGTAGCTTAGGTCTATTTTTTTTCTGAATGTTTTTAATTTATAAGTGCATATTTATATTTCTGATCGGGAAGCTCACAGATTAGGATTGTTGTGGAAACATACATAGACAAAGCAGGAACTATAGATTTATTTCTAGAAACAGGAATATAAAATAAAAAAATAATTCAAATTAGCAGAGCAAACCATAACATGCTGTCTAAAACACAAATGATATCAATTTCCAACACTTTGTTACTAGACATCAAATGGCTCTTTCTAAAAAAAGTGAAGGACAAAAACAAAAGTAATTTCAGTTCAATATGATTACAATTTATATAACCCAAACCCACTCCACTCAATCTAAATTATTCCAGTGAAACCCATTTGGTTCCTTGTTGGCAGGGATTTGTTGTTGATTTATTGTTATGGTTATTTTTTTATTTTTTTAGGTGCTATGTAGCTCGATAATCAACAATCCTAACCCTATTAAGAACTGTTTTCTACTACCTAAAATCACCTTTAAAAAATTGTGAGATTGTAATAACAAAATTTATGCATTTGCCTTTGAAAATAGGATTTTATGATTGTCAGAAAATGATTGGACTTTTCTGAGGCTAACAGAAAGCAACAAGAAGTTTTGTGCTAAGATTTCTGTGCAGTCTTAATATTTACCTAACTATTCTGTGCAAACAGTTTTCTAACTGTGCCGTGCTTACAGCTCGCTGTTCTATTCTCACACTAAGCTAAATGTTCTTCTTGCTAACAGTTCTGTGCTAACACTTAGCTAACATTTTCACTGTAAAACAGAGCTAACTTCTTTGCGAACAGCTAGCCGATCTTCTTGCTAACCCTTAGCTAACAGTTCTAAGCTAACATTTGCATTGTAAAACATTTAGATAACTCCCTTGCAAACAGCTAGCGGATCTTCTTGCTAACTCTTAGCAAACCATTCTGTGCTAACACTTGGCTAACATTTTCATTGTACAACAGAGCTAACTTCCTCACGAACATCTAACTGATCTTCTTGCTAACACCTAGCTAACAGTTCTGAGTTAACATTTGGCTAATGTTTGCATTGTATGGGATCCTTCTGAATATTTAGCTTACTGTTGCAGCCTGACAGTTTATAAATTGTTCTGTGCTAAACTTAGCCAAGTGTTTTATGCTGACAGTCATCTGTTTAAAAACAGGGAATGAGAAACTTTCTTGTTTTAGCTTGTTAAAATGTGTTTTATGTTTTAACAAGGTTTTCTATCTAAATAAAACCAAAATATGTTCTAGTCACAGCAGTAAATTTCCAACAACGCAGGGTGTTTGAGTTTCATTTAGAGAAAACAGTGAGACGATGGAGAGTGAGAGGAAAACCTTTATGCCTTTTTAAGAAGTGACCCGTCAGGTACATATTTTTGTAAGTTAATGAAAAGAGAAAGTTAACCCATATTATTTATTTGGATCTCGTTATGACTGTAAACCTTTTTGCTTTAACGAGACATTGCTCTTGAATATATCCTATCCCTGGCAGTTAAATGCTCCTCTATTTTCGTGCTAACAGCTAGCATCAAAATGTTGCAAATGCATGTTCTTTGCAGTTTAGGCAGCGATGTTTGCTCTGCTAACACTGTATAATTTATTTATGATTGTTTTGTTATATCTGTTTGAAACTGCTGGAGACTTTAGTGATTTAATTAGAGAAATATGTAATGTCCTAGTTATACTAGCTTTGTGTGAGCAAGTTTTTTTGAAAAACCTGTATGTAAACAAAGCCTATCGTGTGTGGAGAGAATACTATATTATCCAAGTAGTTTTAAGTGCCTGTGTAGGCCACCTTTTATTTTATTTTATGTTTTTTTGCCATTACTGTACACTCCACACCAACCAAAGATCTGGGAAAATGTTGCAATAGTCAGCAAGCATTTATTAAATGCATGTAAAACCAAGTTTTTGATGGTAGCGGTTCAATAATATGCACTGAATTTTATGCTAGCACACAGTCTGTTTTAATGTGAAGACTTCATCTTAAATGGAAGATAATTTTTTTAAAAAAGTCCTCACTATAGGTATGTGTTGAATTTTTTCTGGTTTGAATTTGCATGAGTGTGGTTTTATATGTTTGCTCATCGTTCATGGTTTTTAAAGCTCATGTTCGGGTTCTTGGATGTTTGAAAACTTTTTATCATGATTTTTAGGTGTTTGGGGAGGCAATGCAAGAGAAAATGTATGTTTAATTTTTAATTTTTTTTTGAAAAGTTGTTTTCTTTTTCTTACTTGGTTTCAGATTTTTGAAGCAATAACCATTGTTTGTTCGTAACTTTTCTTTGACCGTTTTCTTTTTTTCATTTATTATTACGTTTACATTCTGGTGGATGAATTTAAATCGATGTCTAAACTTCAATGATGGCTGCCAAGCTTAACATTATAAGTCACCGCCTTGCACTACATCACTCTTAATTGTAGATGTGAATATTTCCATGAGGCAGCTGTTACTTGGCATCTCGCAGGAGATTGAAGATTGGACCTTTTGAATTTTTTTCTCTTTGTTCTTTTTGGGTTTATGGATACTTTGTGTTCAAACCTTGTTTTGTTTTAAGTCAGACCTCAAACACTGGAACATTTGTTTTGTGAACGTGTTACCAGTTACTTTTCTGTTTATAAGTCTTAAAAAAAGTTGCCAATTTATTGCGCTGCAAATTGTGATTATAGCAAATTATATAGGTATTCATATTTGAATAAATTACATTCTGAATATGTTTCTGTCTGTTGCTTTTTTGTAATATTTATTTACAATTTTGTGTAACGTATTTGCAACTAACAGATTTTTTTTCCCCACAGTTTAATGTTTCAGATTATTAGACAAATGTTAATAGCAGAAAAGATTAGCTGAGTGAAAACAGAAAAGCAGTTCTTAAACATTGTTTATTAAAAAAAAAAAAAAAGCTACATTAGGTACAATTATGATGAGGGTGGAGAAGTCCAAGTGGTAAGAATACGTCTGCAAGGCAACGATTTACTGTAAATGTGGATTTAATGCAAGTTTTAATCACACATTTTTCTAAAAGGCATAATCACATTATAGGCTGAATCTTAAAAACAAAATGTGTCAAATGTTCTGGGAAAACAGAAGAGGGGAAATTTTTCTCAGTTTCACTTGGATCTAGAAATTAGGAACATTTTCCCTTTTTAATATCAAACAAAAAAAATGCAGTTGAAATAAAAGAATAGCAAAAAAGAAAAGAAGCCGACTGAATTGTCTTTGGTACCTTACTAAAGATATGAGGATTAATTGAGGACAGATTTATTAACTAAAACATGTTTCTTTTTTAAGCAAAAATAATTAGCATTGATTGTTGCACAAGTGGCCTGAGGCATCAGTTCAGCCGTCTCTAATCGGTCATTGTCCTGAAAGCATGTTTTAAGTCTCAGCGATGCGTGCCAAATGTGTGCACAATCTGTGAACACAATCCAAGTGTGCTGTCTAACATGGTTTTATGCTTTTAACATAGTCCGACCCAAACACACACACTCACTGCGCCACCCTCGGCAAACGCGATTGACCCCAATTGTTCTCAGCTTGAAGGAGGTCGTGACACCGCAGCGTGATCGGGAGGATGGGATCAGTTAATCGCTGTGCGACTTTTGTGTTTATCATCCAAGGTTGTGTCATTATATGTTAAACTACGCGGTTTGACTTTGCTCAATAGCTCCCAATTAATATTTTAGAAAGACCACAAGTGGAAGTTGCGTCTTTAAAATGGTTAATAAATGGTTTTCTGAAACAAAAGAGGCTCTCATGAGCTTGCTGGGGTTTTAATAAGGGCTAATGCCACAAAAACACAGGGTTTCTAACGCATGTAATTTGTCAGCTTTGTCTCTCATGATGGCGTTTAAGGGATCCAGTGTAGATAATAGTGGTCTGCTGCAGTCTGCTTCTAATCTGTTGTAATGGTTGAGTCTGCTGGGCTAATTAGATAAATGACCACCTGCTCTTTCTGTCATCTATGACATCTGGCTGAACAAAAGAAAAATAATTAGCCACATGCCAAATAAACAGCTACGCCTCGAACAGTTACATCTCAGATGCATGTTTACCTGTCTGGGATTGGAGTTCTGCGGCTTGGCGTGCTTCGCTGCTAGTTTGCCGAGCTTAGACTTGGATTAAAGTCTCCGAATTTATTATTGGATCACCAGCCGTCAGGCGCGTGATTATTTTATGATTTCTATCCACGGTGCCTTTAAATTCTTCTAAAAAGTGGGATCTTCCTCCAGAACAGACTATGCTTTGCTTAGGAGTTGTTCTCACATTAAGATCCGTCATCCTTCCTTAAATCTGGAAATATTCTGTCATCAAAAGTCATTAATGTTGTATTTTAATTTTCTTTCACACCCTGATCACACATGGTAACTGATTTAATGTGTCTTCTCTCTTATAGAGGCGTAATCAGATTTATCAGACCTCCTCAGGTCCCATTCGTGGCAGGTGTCAGACGAGTTTCTCCACTTTGGAGCTCCGCATGCTGAACTTCCGGAATACTCAGGTTATTGATTGCCCTATTGATTTTCAAACACTGAGTCATTTTAGAAAGGTGAAATCCAATTAAAAGTTGAAGTTAAAACAGCTAATCCAATCTGGACGAAGAAATGCATCGATTCCAACCTTAAAATCAATATCGTGGGCTGATCTCATGCAGGGACTGAAACGTTTTCCATTTTGCTCCCTGAACGAACGAAGCGCACTCCGACAGCTGGAGAATGCAGCTAAGTTTTTATTTTTTAATAAGTGATTCAAGTAAACAAAATATTTCACTTGGGCTGCCTTCTGTAAACACTTTGATTCGTTCTTTTTTGTTTGGATTTTTTTTATGTTTTATGATGACAGTAACAGTATTGCTGACTTGTTTAAACTATGCTAACACATATTTGATAAAGTAATCAGGTTTCTGCATTTCCTTAAACAATTAATCTGATGTGATTTCTTTTCCCTCTGAATTCTCTCAATTATCGAATAAAGATAATTTCTTTGCACTGTAATTTGTTTCCATCAGACAGATGGATGTGTTGCCCAAACCTCATGAGAAAAATCAGCTTTAACTTATATTTACAGGTTTATATTCATGAAAAACAGCAAATTGAACTGGTGTTCCAGCAGTTATTGGCAGGTTTGAGGCTGCCAATAAGACATTCCAACTTGTGTGAATCTGCAGCGCTCCAACTTAGATCGTCACTCAGATTTGTGTCCTGAAATGTTCCAATGAGTGATTTTGAATAAATTCACTTTTACACAGGCAATGCTGATCACCAACAGACCATAAGCTTGTCAAGTTAAGGCTTTCAACAACTTTTGGTGTCTGACTTTACCCACTTATCCTTGCAGGATTGTGAGATATCCACAATAAATTTAAACGAGCACACTGGAAAAAGAGCTATTCAAATAAATCAGAAAGTCTCCAAATTGATAGAAAATGTGCCTGTAATCGTCTGACCACAACGTTATTTCTAAAGTAAAGAAACACTTACTTTAATTTGATTCAGCCTTCTTGCCCTCTCATTTCAACCATGTGTGATTACATATGCTAAGTTACTTTTTCCAAGTCCACCCACAGTCGCTGTGGGGAAATCCAGCTGCCACCGAGCGGCCGCGCTGAGGAGGATCGGAATGTAGCAGGAGAGAAAAACTCTTTTCAGACATTTATGTGGACACGCAAAGCTGCTTCGTTCACAGAAAAAAAAAAAAAAAAAAAAGCCCAGCTGGACACAGATGGTCCTAACATGGTTCTGAACAAACACTTTTACAGACGGCTTCTGTTGATATTAGATTACAGAAGACGCTTAATAAAACTATCTCAAATGGAAACTTTCCCACCTGGGGACAGTTTGTTCATTTTTCTTCCGACCTTGTGAAGAGCATTAAAAATAAATGTACGCTCTTTCTGTTTTCAGGTGTTCTTACCAATTCAGGTTGTCATGTTGTGTTACTTCACAGCTACAAATACTTTTTGTGGGTGTTTATGTGAAATGGCTCAGTTGTTAATGTTTTCCCAAAATAAAACAAAAAAGAAATCCATTGGATTTATCCACCTATCCTTGAAGGGTTGGAGCGAAGCTCGTCTCATAATAATCAAGTGCCTTGAGTAGCTGTCTTGTTAGTAAATGATATGCACCCCTGTACTGCAGGAACAGCTGATTTTATACTGCAAAAGACTGGAAAAAAGAGTCACCGTCCAGTAGGAAAAAAAAAAAAAAACAACCCTCAACATATGGCTTCACATTGAGTGTCTTTAATTGTAGATGTAAATGCCACAGATGGTGACGGACAAGCAGGTACTGATGTTGTTCCACTGGTTGAAGTGTTACTCTTTGTAGCGGCATCTGCAGGTACTGCAGAGGTAACGGCAGAAGGTGGCGCTGTGACTGGGGCGTCGGTTGTTTTGGAGGTTTGGAGGTGACATGAGATGAGAGGTTCTGAACAGATGCAGGTGGTAGTGAACACTACCACCTACCAACACAGCCACTTGTTCCTCCATCAACATGTCCTCAAGCTGAAGAAATGAAAAACACAATATATCAAGTACCAAACACCACGTCCAGGTAGAGGTCCTTTCTCCTTCACTCGTTGCTCTTTGTCCCCAGGGTTTTGCACACGTCTGCGTTGATTTGTAAGAAAACGTTTTGAGTTATTTTTCAACTCTGTTTACATGTAAAGCACATTGTTAGAAACTGCTTCTATGCGTGTTTTACCAAGCACAGCTGTCAGCACATACCTTGTTAACAAACTCTTTGTCTTGGTCCATTAAAATTCTTTGTGGCGCCTCAAACTGGTACACAAATTTAAATATGCATTTTGTGACCTCTGCTGCAGTTTTGGAATTGATTGCGTATGCCTGTGGCCATGTAGTGCAGAGATCAACAATAACACACATATATATTGGTTGCCCTAATCTGCTTTGACAAGGTTGCCAATCAAATCTTATCCAATTAGCTCAAATGGAAGCTTTGTCTGCAGAAAGAAAGGAGGAAAGAGAAAAAAAAAACAAAAGAAAGGGATGACATTAAGTGTTATTCCCTTAGAGTGGAAAAACAGTATGATGAAAAGTACATTGTTATGGAAAATATAATAATGTGGTACAACATGGTGATTCTTACTTTTAAGGTTAAGATCAAGTTTTCCACTGTTAAAGCAAAAGGAAATGTTTACTTTTATGGGCTTGTATTCTGTGTCAGCCATTATATCATTCTGACACCAACGGAAGATCATTTATAGTCTGAAGCCTTAGTGTGTCACAAATTTTCTTGGAATATTTTTTCCAAAAATTTTAAAGTATAAAATACTTTCTCATATAGCGTATATATATAATTATGTCTATAAATATGTTATAATCATCCATGTGACCATAAAGACTCATGGTGTGGGTATTACACGGAGAAATGAACACAGTGGCCATAAGATGTCAAAATAGCATAAATTTATTTCTATCTCTACCTAATCTGATTGAGGCTGAGTTACTTTCCAAAGAACAATGGGCAAAAATGTTGACCTCTAGTAGAGGCAAACCCCAAAGAAATAAGCTTGAACAAAACATTGAGTCAGAAGGACTGAATAAAGACACACACCACACTTTCCAGACTGTTTTTTGTGCAAAGTATAAGAAAATCATCTATTATTGTCCTTTTATTGTACTGTTATTCCTTAATTTGTATCAGGTTGTGACATAGAAGCCCAATAAGATGCATTGAAGTTTGTAACATGGCAA